AATAATAAAGAGTTACTCAAACATGTGTGAATGAAACAAAACACAACTCCAGATGAGTTTTTGAGGAGGTAACAACATTATAACATGGCTTCAAGCTTACAGTTTTGTGTAATATAAGACCTTTAACTGCATTTGTACTAAGCCAAAGATGTTTTGTCTTCTTATGTACTTTAATTTCTTGGGTTCTTTTTAAAGACCGTGCAGTAAAGTGTATTTACCTTGTTGACATGTTTCGGCTGCTGCTGCATCTTCGGAACTGTCCCTGGTGTTGGTGGTGACGTGTCGTATATCAGTTGTTGTTATGTCCTGTAGGCGTGGTCAGCCTGATGGACCTGGCAGATCGCTCAGACTGACCACGCCTCTCGTTGCCCAGTGTTCTCTGGAGGGGGGTGTCCCAGGTGTGTGAAAGGAGGAACGCTCCATCATCACGCTTCATGCTGTCCGTGCCTCGTTTCCTGATTTCAATGGCCTCCCTGATCCAGCGTTTAAACTTGTTGTTTTCTGATCCAATGACCCGAGCCTCGTCCGAATCCATAATGTGGTTGTTTCTTTTACAGTGCTCTGATATGGCGGATTTTAGGTTTTCCTGTTCTGCTTTATCTTTTTGTGTTCTGGTGAGTCTCCCTGATGTTTCCTTTTTGCATTCCTTTTGGTGTTCCACAAGTTCAAACGCTGGATCAAGGAGGCCATTGAAATCAGGAAACGAGGCACGGACACCATTAACCGTGATGACAGCGCGTTCTTCCTTTCACACACCTGGGACACCCTCCTCCAGAGAACACCGGGCGACGGGAGGCGTGGTCACTCTCGGCGATCTGCCAGCTCCATAGGGCTGACCACGCCTACAGGAAGTAACAACAGCTGATATACTATAGGACATGTCACCATCAACACCGGGGACAGTTCTGAAGATGGTTTGCAGCAGCAGCCGAAACATGTCAACAAGGTAAATACACTTTACTGTATTGTCTTTAAAATGAACCCAAGAAGTTAATGCATTTGTACTAAAAGAAAATATTATGATCATAAGATAAAACATCACATTTTAAAGATGTCGCTGTGGAGATGTTATTGCCGGGTCAAATGCTGAGAACAAATTTTCTTACGGGGACAATAAAGACTGGCTAAGTCTTCCACAGTATGGCATTACATTAATAATCACCAAGCAGGCCAAGTTACAAAACAAATCAGTGGAGAGGCGACTGCTCAAAGGAATGAAATACTGGAATTGAATAGACGCAAGACAGAAGAGTTTAATTCCATATTGTGGAACATTTCAGGCCAGTAATAACGTCTCTCTATGTAAAAGTACTTTGTTTCGCTTTATGTAATGCCTGTACACCATGACCTGACTGGCGGTCCTGTGTAAGCCCGGGTAAATCGATGCCGCTGCTGTACAAAGCTCATTGATTTGTGTATGTTTGGGAAGTAAAGCTGTGTACACAGAGCAGGTCGAGCATCATCACTATGGACATTTTTTCCACTGTGGAGCTAAAAAGTTACAAGCAAAAGTGCATTAAAAAGGGCTGTAATAAAAAGGTTACAAGAGCAGCAAAAGGTTTCTACAGTGTAAACAAACAAAAACACGGAAACTTTATACTCTCTTATCATTAATTCTCAACAAAAGTGGAGGTTGAGCCAAGCTTGTGATGGTAAAATGTAAACTGTATATACAAATGGACGTATCCAACGCACTAGCCGCAAAGTTCCAAACAGGAAGTATTCATGGGGGCATTTCTAATTACACTTGAAAATGGTCATCCCTCTCTCTTTAACTGCTCGTTTTAAGCCTCATTGTTTTGGTCTTAAAATGTTTGTATTGTGTTTTTATTTCACTATTTTGTCTGTGATTAAAATCCTATTCCTAATACGGACCTGGCTCCAAATTAGCTCTGCCAGCCTCTGACAGCTTCATTTGACTGGAGCTGAACACTCTGGGTGACGTCACGCTCCCTTAAGACTGTCACACACTACAGGATTTTTCGGTCTTAAACGATTTTTAAACGTGTGACTAAAAACGCACACCACGGACACGAGGAGAATCTTATAAGACTTAAAATCTCTGATCGCAAAGACTGTAGCGGGATCTGTCTGCGGACCACAGGATATAAAGTTGTGAGCACGAGCGCATCGGCGGTTTCTTGACTACAGTAAAACCACTCGTTTTGAGACTCTTGAATGGAGTTTGTCAGAATATCCTTCGCTTTACTGACGCAGGTTTGTGAAGCATTCCTCCGTGAAGTGGTTAGCTCATACAAAAAGCATCTTGGGCACATTCGTAGGCCCCGAAATATAAAAGTAATTCAAGTAGTTCTTAGTGGTTCTCTGGCTGGACCAACAACAACAGAACACATAGTTTTATCAAAACGCACTTTCTTCGTTAGGAGAGCGATTAGACGGAAGCTACTAAACTTGACCTAACAGATAGAAAGAAAAAGAGAAAATGTAGCAGATAGAAGAAAACGAACATTGCGTGTCTGAACTGAAAGTGAAAGGTATCTGAAAAGATATAGATATCTTTACAAGTACTGTATGGTTCAAACTGAGGTTTTTTGAGTCAATACAGACCTTATATACCCAGGAAACACTATCAAAAAGCTGAAAAAGTGGTGCAATTCTTCAGATACATGATTTTTAAAGCATAAAACACTGACGATAATGTACACAGGAAGTCATTATCGTTAATCTGCAGCTTCACCTCAATCCGTGCAATGTGTGGATGTAAACAGACACACATGAACACTATTCTCACCTTTTTACTTTCAACGAACACTTCAAACTGGAATAATAGAGCTGTTTTTTGGACTGCATGTCATTATTTGCAGAGGACAAATTATGTGCATAATATGGATGGGATGCTGCAGTTTAAAGGTGAGTAATAATTATTTTCGCTGTTTCCCAAATTTATATCTTGCGCCTCTGTGTCCGTCACTCCTCTGCCCCTGACGCTCTGTTTTATTGGCTGTTGCCGTAGCGTTGCTGATGTTTTAATGTTACGATCTGACAGAGCAGCTCGGAGTCACACAGACACACAGACACATACACATACACACACAGAGAGCAGCGGCTTCAAAATCGCACACAAAGACACAAAGTTCACTGGGTCACTCCTTCTCGTAGTCAGGGAGAAGCAAATTGCAGCCTAAATCGGGCAAATTCTCCTGTGGTATGGCGCCTTTAGTCCGCTTTTTATACAGTCTATAAAGCTATAAAAGTGTGGGCTTTGTGAAATACATACATGTGAATCCGTCTGAAGAAGGGCTTGATCTGAAACGTCACATTGTGGTGTCACTGACATAAAAACTGAACAAACTGCAGTGTGGATCTCTTTCTCTTTTTGGACAATTTTTGTCATTGGACCCAGCATGCCGCCGCAATTTTTCTTGAATGTGCATGTCTCTATCTACTAGTTTTGTGAAATACATACACTACCGGTCAAAAGTTTTAGAACACCCTAATTTTTCCAGTTATTTATTGCAATTCAAGTCGTGCAAGTCCAATGAAGAGCTTGAAATGGTGCAAAGGTAAGAACTGAACAGACAGAGGTTAAAAAAATAAAAAGATAAAAGATACAAAACCCAAGTCCAAGCTCTGACATAACTACCTCAGGAAAAAAGAACAAGATGGTAAAGCTTGAAAACATGGAGTGTCCAGCACAGTGTCCAGACTTAAACCCCATCGATCTGGTTTGGGATGAACTGAACAGAAGAGTGAAGCAACCTACAAGAGCCACACATTTACGGAAACTTCTGCAACAGACTTGGGAAGAACTTTGTAAAGAATATTTGATTTCTATCGTAAAAAGAACGAGCCACGAGTGTGTTCAGTTGTTATATCTGCCAAAGGTGGACACTTTCATGAATCAGAAGTTCAGAATAAGTTTTGGTCAACAGCATTCGATAAAATTTTCTTAATCAATCGCCAGAAGAATTAACGATCGATTATCGATTAATCATTAACGTTTTTATATTAAAATGATCATCATTATTATTACTATCTGCACTACTAATCTGCATAAATGAATTCAACTTTACGACAAATAAACCATAACCACTCTAGAGCCACATCAGCCCGTTTGACATTATAATGTGTTTAATTCAGTTTTGCGCAACTCTCACAGAAACGAAACTTAAAACCGCATCGCTAATTTGCATAAACTAAGTGAAGATGAAAAAAAACAGCTCTTGTGTCGCTGATGCGGTTCAACTTCTGTCAGATTAAAAGACACGACTCAGTGGAATACAGGTTAGTGTGACCATATTTGTGTTTCTCAACACCAGGACACCGTATGGGGGGTGGGAGGTGGAGCCTCGTCATCGACATTGCGCGACTCTCACCTGGCAAAGCTTTTTCCCACTGGACACTAACACATATGTGCTGCTTTATACACTGTGTACATGGCCTGACACTTGTCCCAATCGGAACGGAAAGTGTGGAATTTCTTGTACAAGTCATCGTTAAATACGTATTTGTGTTTCGGCATGTTGCAGACTGACCGACTGTTTGTGTCTGCTCGCTCCTTCTGAGTGCAGAGAGCTACATACGGACCCCCGTTTGGTCACCCTACGCACAGCAACCTACATTTGGTTTGTCGATTAAAATGAATGTAATCAATAAAATTCTTAATGATCAATTATCGATTAATCGACTAATCATGCCCATCCCTAGTCAACAGTAAACAGTAGAAAAACTGGAAAAAGTGTGGTGTTCTAAAACCTTTGACCGGTAGTGTATAATATATGAAGTCATACATTCATTCATTCAGTTCTTAAGCGCTTTTCACAATTCTCATGACCATAAAGGTAATGACTACTAGCATTCTAATGTGTACTTCCTGATTCCTGATCCTGACAGCATGCAGCGGAGGTATTTCGACCTTAATAGCTGCTTATGCAATATATCTGTCCTGGGGCAAGACACATTGTACTGAAATACACAGGGGAAAATTGGCTCCAGGCCCTTTAACCAGCACAACAGGATGCATTTAGAGAAAGTTGTACCCATAGGAGGAGCTGCGTCATCACCACATCCCCGTGTTGGCAGGCTGCGTGGAGGGCGGAGGCGGGCAGACGCAGAGCCAGCAGCGCCCGTGACGACAGCGCCATGCTCAAGGGGGCGCTCATGTCCTCTTTGCTGCAGTGGGCCAGCAGCAGCAGCAGCTTGGGCAGGTTGTGCTCCATCACGGCCAGTAGGAGGCGCCCCGCCAGAGTGATGTCGGGGCCCTCTCCCGGGGTGGGCGGAGGCAGGGGGGGCCACAAACAGCTTCTGCTCGTATTTGGCGCGAATCCACGACTCCCTCTCCTCCCTGAGTCAGCAGAAACACAAAGGGAGAAAGGGCGAAAGAGGAGAGGGGACAAAAGCGTTAGATAAGAAAAGGTTCGTACAAAGTAATGCATTATACTTGAATTATAATAGATTTTTTTGCATCTTGGCCATTAATCCCAATTTGTTTTATTTTCTATAAATTTGTCTGGTTTCTAAACGGGAAAAAATAGCAGTGCTTAAGTATATTTGGACCAGAGGGTATGTCACAAATCAGGAAGACGTTTGGAAACATGCAATGACAACTTCCAGTGTAGTTCCCGACACTTGGCTCGCTGACCGACTGTGATCAAACCCATTGAAGTAAATGTGATCAGCGGTAAAATAAAGACTGCATACTAGAAAACATGATGATGTCACATCCGGGGTGGCAGCGATTTTGGTAGGCAAAAAGCGTCCGTATCAAGAAGTCAACATCAACATTGTCAACAGTTATCGCTGTACAACATCAACAATCGTCATACAACAGTTCAACATCAACATCGTCAACAGTTATCGCTGTACAACATCAACATCGTCAACACTTATTGGCGTACAACATCAACAATCGTCACACAACAGTACAACATCAAGATTGTCAAATGTTATTGCCGAGTTTTAATTTTTCAAAGTAACATTTTTGATCCTCAACCTTCAGTGACTTAGAGTAAGATGATGAAGCCAAGATAAGACGAGTTATCTCATGACAGACATACGCAAAGCAACTGTCAACAAAAAGCCAGATGTAAACAAAAATGATTTCTTGTATATGCATGTGCTGTTTGGAATCATCTTGAATTTGGCATCTCTTCTAACAGCATGTAACCAGTGCACTCGGTAATGATAACTGAGGTATGGTTGTAAATGTTGATTAGACTTAGACTTAGACAAACTTTATTGATCCACAATGGAAATTATTTGGACCCAGAAGCTCACACATCACAATAAATATAATAACAAAGAGTAAAAAATATAAATGGTAAAATATTTCTAAATAAGTAGCAAAAAAGATAGCAAGAGACGGGTCAAATAAGACATAATTATATAAATGTAAATGTACAAGTAAAAATAAAATAGAAATAGATTAGCCAAACATAACAGAATGCCACAATGACATGTAGATCAGAGCTTTTCAATTATTTTCTGTCACGCCCCCCCAGGAAGAAGAAAACACTTCATGCCCCCCCACTCCACAGAACCGCTACCAAATGTGGACAAATCACATCCTCGCCTTCAGTTGCCTACGTACAAAAGGAAACGTTTTAGTCGAGTCTCCAAAGCGACTCAGGGGACGCACGCAGCCTGTGTCCGTGCCTATTCCGCGCTGCACTCACTTGCGTCATGAGGTCCACTCCTGTGTCCTCCTTGTCCGTGTTGATGTTTGTGTTGTTTGTGTTGTTTGTTTATGTTTTGGTACTAACAGTGCTCGCTGGGTTATTGAAGTAGCATTCACAAAAGCGGGAGGATTGTTGGCAATATTCAACACTTTTTCGCTGAAAAAACTCAAGCGGCTTATCAGAGTGATTGGGCTGTAATGTCTTTAAGAGACACCTTAATTTATTTGGCTTCATGCTGTCCACTGCCAACATTTTTATGCACAGTAGACACAGCGGTCTTTCCTCGTCACAGTGAAGCCGAGTGCTACAAATACAGTTTGTTCTCTGCACTTCATATCACCTTCTGTATGCTGTGTGTGTGCGTTTGCTTGCTGCAGAAAATAACACACTAGAGCACTAATACTGCCTGCACACACTTAGCGTCAGTCACTGCCAGAGGTGGGACCAAGTCGTCGTTTTACAAGTCTCAAGTAAGTCTCAAGTCTTTGACCTCAAGTCTGAGTCAAGTCCCAAGTCAAATACAGGCAAGACCAAGTTGAGTCTCAAGTCACTAGTTCATAAGTCCAAGTCAAGTCCAGGTCATCTGCTTTGAGCTTCAAGTCATTTCAAGTCTTTAAACCAAAGATTTTTGCAATTTATATGAATTTTAAGCTAAATTGTAGTTATGAAGTCATAGTATATTTATATATGAGCATTTATATACAGTGTTGGGAGTAACGCGTTATAAAAGTAACGAATTACAGTAATGCATTACTTTTTGCTGTAACGCAGTAATGTAAGGCATTACAGGGGAAAAAATAGTAATATTTTACTCGGTACAAATGTGAGTAACGCGCGTTACAATGTTTTTTTAACCTGGATTGAAGTGGTGGGTTTTTCTTCATACAAATTCGCTAAAATCACCTCGATATCAGCAGCGGTGAAACGCCGGAGATGCGCCCTCATAGACCTTCAGGTAACCGCGGGCGAAAGGACTGACAAAGAACTCCACGCTGTTTAGACCTGGTTTAAACCTGGGTCAGTTTTGGTTTAGACCTGGTTTAGACCTGGGTCAGTTCTGGTTTAGACCTGGTTTACACTCGTCCCTCCCTCTATCGCAGTTCACTTTTCGCTGTCTCGCAGATTTTTATTTTTATTTTTTGTGCAATTTTGCATGCCCTGTTTTTTTTTTTTTTTTTTACATTGTATGAATGCGTATTGCGTTCCTCCCGCTGCGTCCTGACTGGCCTAGGGACTCCTGTCTCCTGTACAGAACAGTACAGAATGTGTTCAGCTGCCAAATTTAAATACATGTTCAGTCTCTAGCAGTGTGATTCTGAAGTGCTGTACGGTTGCAAGTTTTCTCCCCCACGAAAACCCACAACGTCGACGAAACGTTCTGCACCGACAAAGGCTCCTGCGCTCGCACCCAAAAGGCAGAGGAAGATGCAAACCACCACACAAAAAGTTGGGCTTCTGAACACGCTGAAGGAAGGTAGAAGTTACGCGCTGTAACAGACTCTTGCACCGGCTCGGGTACCTGCAAATAGTTGCTGAAATCAGGGCCGCGAGCCCGAGCAGCAGAGTCCATAAAGAGCGATCGGGTGACAGCCGCTCTTACCTCCGCGAGGTGCGGAGCAGAGCCGCTCCTTTCTCCTGCGGTCTCCTTCGAGCCCTTCCCTGACAGTGAGTCCTGTTTTAGTCCTAGTTCACTTCTAGTTTAGTCCTAGTTCACTTCTGGTTTAGTCCTGGTTCAGCTCTGGTTTAGTCCTGGTTTAGACCTGGTTTAGTCCTGGTTCAGTCCATATAGAGCGCAAAAGTTATTTTGGTGAGAGTAACTTAAAGTAATGCAATAGTAATGTAATGCCTTACATTTTAAATGCAGTAATATTGTAATGTAACGAATTACTGTGAAATGACAGTAATAGGTAATAAATAACGCATTACAGTTTCAAAGTAACTTGCCCAACAGTGTTTATATATGAGTATTTTTCCTTTTTAAATGTCTTGACAAGATCTTAGAGTGAATCATTAAAGTCAGAATAGAAAGAATTCAGATTTTAAAGTCTTCTCAAGTCACAAGTCCAAGTCAAGTCTCAAGTTATTGACCTTCAAGTCCAAGTCGAGTCCCAAGGGTTAGTCCATTTTATTTAGTCAAGTCTCAAGACCTAAAAATAGTGACTCAAGTCTGACTCGAGTCCAATGATGACTTGGAAATCCCGACCTCTGGTCACTGCCAACTACTGTAGTGGATGTGCAATTACACTTTAGTAAGGCAAAAAAAGCATGTTCCCCGAGGTCACACGCGCCCCCTGGGAAAACTGGGCCATTTTCTCATTTCTCCTTGATTTCTCCAAACTTACTACTGTGAACTGATCCCACTGGAAGTTGCCATTGCATGTTTCCAAACATCTTCCTGGTCTATGACGTAAGTGTGAACAGAGCTGATTATTTTCGTAGTTGACTCAAACTATTTTATTGCACTGACTCCGAATATAAATATTACAACCTATAGTACCTGGCAGCGTCGGGGTGGGGTTGTGGAGCCCCTGGGTGCGTGACTTCCAGTTCCTTACTAAACCAGAACTAAACCAGAACTAAACCAGAACTAAACCAGAAGTGACACCTATATTCTTGACTCATATTCTTAACATTCGGGGGTGGGGTTGGGGAGCCCGTGGGTGCAGACCTGACCTCTGTACACCTGACGCATATTCTAAACATGATCCTTTACCTGGTAGCGTCGGGCGTGGGTTTGCGGTGCCCGTGGGTGCGCGCCTCCCAGATGCTGTTGACCAGGTGGTTGCCGATGGCGCTCAGGACCAGGGTTAGCTCCCGTGGCAGGTCGTCCAGGTCCAGGGACCGCACCCTAGACACGTGGGTCCCCAGGTTCCTGTGGATCCCAGAGCACTCGATGCACAGCAGGGCCCCCAGGTTCAGACTGGCCCACGTCGGGTCTGACAGGAGATAGAAGAGAAGAGAGGAGAAGAGAGGAGAGAAAGAGGAGAGGAGACAGAGCACTTATAAACAGTGGATCTCATTCATGAATCTTTTTTTAAATTTTTTTCACAACTTCCATAAAATGCTGAGAGAAGTCTGCCTCAAATTCACCAAGCATTCTTACAGAGCCGAATTGCTTAGTTGCACCAAATTCACCAACACCCCGCTCCAAACACTTCCACGCTCATTTACATTTTATTTACATAGAAAAGTAATATGTATTTTGTTCGAAATGCCCTCTGAACTTCAAATCTGGACAATATGGGTTTGGCATTATGACGCATGAAAAGGTGAAGGAGAGAATGATGAGGAGGTCAGGTGGAACATGTCTACAGACGACGGCTGTTTTAAAGCTTCAGCAGTGATTTCAGATGTGCAAACTCACTTGAACACATTCAGGGAGGGAAGATTTAAATCATAAATTATGAAATAAGCGGGTGCCTTGGTCTGTAAAATAGTTAGAAACACAGGCTGGGGTGGGGGTGCATAAAAGTGCTCTGGTCATGGGGGGTCAGGGGGGTGATGGGGAGTCAGGGGGGTGTTGAGTCCACCGCGATGATCAGGCACAGGGCTGTGACAGAGGCCCATATGGAGGCACTGGGGCTGGGACAGAGTGAAGCTCACTGCAGCCCCACAATTAGACCCAACGGACACATAAAACTCCTCATAAATGTTATTGGATCACGTAGTAATATGTTTTTAGTAAATAATTTAAGAAAATATATCAGTTACAATTATGGAGGAGTTATCATTTTTAGTTGCATTATCAGAGTAATAATATTCTAAAACAGTAGAATTTTTGTTCTTATGAGTGCTCTTGACTGTTCGATTTGTCAAATGAAGAAAAAGAGGCAGAGTGCTTCACTGGGTCTTAAAAGAGTAAAAAATAGCAGTACAGGTGCTCTACAAGGGTTAAAACAGTAGTCTAGAAACAGAAAGTTGCCCTTACTGGAAAATGTAAAAATGGGCAAGGTACAAACCTGAGGCACTCCCACTGAATATATTAAAAGTCCTTTATTGCATGAAGGGACGCCAACGCGTTTCAACCAGTAAGATGGTCCTCACCCTGACGAAGACCATTTTGACTTTTAATATATTCAGCTGGAGTGCCTCGGGTTTGTACCTTGCCCATTTTTACATTTTCCAGTAAGGATTTGTTCTTCCAGAAGAACATTTTCAGTTAAGAGAAAGTTTTGTGAAAGCCAAAAATGTTCATAAGAAAACCTTAGGTACAAATTTGTTCGCAAGAACGTTTCATGAATGAGGCCCAGTGTGTGTGCAACATTCCTGAATATTTGTCCCACCTTGAGGAAATTCCAGTGTTGCAGCGCTGGGTAATAGAAAAGATGTAATCAAAAATAATGATAAATAGGTCTATCTATTAAAAATAGACTTCAGTCTAACCATTTCATTAGACTGTTACTCCACAGAGTAAGTGGTTTGTTTTTCAGTGCAGTGTAGTTTTGTGTGGATGTTTTTGTATGTATTCTGTATGGAAGTGTGGATGTGAAGCCATATGAATTCACTGCAAAGCAATTTCCCCACAGGGACAAATAAGGTCTTCTGTCTTCTATCTTCCATCTTCTATCTATAATAAAAGCCACAACACTGTGCAAGTGAAGTATAGTAAAAATAAATATGGAACCAAAGGCTTTGGTTCCATCATTTTGTCTTACATAAAAACATCCTGTCTGTGATTGTAAAAACCTGTTACAGCCCATTGCAAATGCAGCCATGTTAAAAGCTCTGTAAAAGCATCAAATAATGAAGATCCCATTTACGTTACATCACACAGACTAAATTAACATTGGGAGGCTAGAGTTAGCGTAGCTTTAGCCTCCTACACCGTCCTCCACAAACAACAGAGACTTATCACTAAACGGGGTATTTTTGTTTTTAGTGTGGGCCAAATCCAAAATGTAAATGCACTCGCCCACAATTATTCAAACCACAAAACCTTTTCAAATTTTGCATCAGAACCTACATGTAGTCTTACTCTGATTGCAACAGTGTTAAGAAAGAAAGAAAGTGAACAGTGTGCAGCCTGTCCTATTGTTTACAGACCACAACGCAACAGTATTACTGCATCCTTCCACATACACTAGATACACTGGATACACTAGACACACTATACAGTACACTGCAGATTTCTGTAAGACAACCTCAGTGTTTTGCTTTTAAGAATGAACAAATTAGCCAGGTGGTGCCACCTAGTGGCTCTGCTCAATTTCATTTCTTTCCAGTGACTAGGACAGGAAACAGAATACACTAGATGGTTTGCAAAAACCCCAGAAGTTGTAAGCCGTGCACTGGCCAATCAGCTGTGAGCTGTGAAACCATGACTGGGTCCATTTTGTGGAACAACACAACAGTAAACAAAGCGTCGAGATGAATGTAGACGAAGACAGACATTCTGTGTTCGCAATGATTCCCAAGATCGAGGATTTAAAGCCGGAACAAAGAGAATGTTTGGTGAATTTTATCAAGGGCAAAGATGTTATTGTCCTTCTTCCTACAGGATTTGGTGCATTACATACGTCACAACCAAATAGCATTGACTGGTCAAATAAAAAAGTACCCGACTACCGTCGAGTGAACAAATTCTAATGCTGCGAGATCAGACAGTCAATGTCCTTGCATATTAAAAGCTTACTTGTACAGATGCCTTAAAGGAGACCTATTCTGCAAAGTCACTTTACAGTTTCGTGCATTATGCATCCACTCCATTGGAAGATAGGTGGTAAGATAGGCTGCCAATCTGCATTGACAAAGAAGTTTGACAATAATCTCATTCTCCTGTATTCAAAACATCATTGCTCAGATCTAGCCCTATTTTCACCACCTCCTGTACATGCTCACTGCTCTGTCTACAATTTTATACATTCATTGTGAACACAATTTGAGCAGAGAACAAGGGCAGAGATGCTTTATGGGATTAAAAACTGTAGGGGAAGTCGGGGTTTTACCTATGATGCAACAAAACTGTCAAAATGGGAACTGAGCATTTTTGAGTAGTCAGTGAAGATGACTTTGGATGAATGGATTAATGAAACAAGTGTGAATGAAGCACAATAAAACTCCAGGCATATTTTAAAAGATGATTTTAATCTCCAAGAAGTTAATTCAGCATAATATGTTTTGTTTGAGTGAAGTAGAGTTTAATCTGCTCAAAGATGGACTGCAGTTGAAAGCTAAACAGCAGAAGTGTGTGTTGACTCACTGGGAGCGTCACAGTCCACACAGAAGTTGTTTCCTTTGGCGTTTCGAATGGCCTGAAGAACCACAGCATCGCTCTGACTGTTCCTGCGATCCTGAAAAACAAGTACAAAGATATATTTGAAACTCAAAAGTTACTGAATAGCAGATTTTATTTTCCATTTTGTTCTCCTTGGCAATATTATTTTATTCATCACAGGATGGTAACAAGGTGCAAATCACATGTTATAAATGCCTATCCATGTGAATGGGGAAAAATGAGGACAGTTTTCGTAGTAGTTGATCATTTAAAACACAGTATTATATCTTTTGAAGGATGAAAAGTTCTCAAAATGTCACCAAACGTACGCTATGATCACAAGAGAAACTAAAGAGTCATTATTAGCAGATATAAGGTGCATTCACTTCTGGTTTGAGCCCATTTTAGTCCAGATGTAGTCTTAGTTTGGTCCTGGTTTAGGCCTGATCTAGTCTTGGTTTAGTCCTGGTTTAGTCTTGGCCCAGTCCTGGTTTAGTCTTGGTTTGAGTCTATTTTAGTACTGATGTAGTCCTGATTTAGTCCTGTTCTATTCCTGGTTTACTCATGGTTTTATCCTGGTCTAGTCCTGGCTTAGTCCTGGCCTAATCCTGGTTTACTCATAGTTTAGTCTTGCTCTGGTTCTGGTTTACTCATGGTTTAATCCTGGTCAAGTCCTGGTTTACTCGTGGTTTGCTTATGGTTTAGTCCTGTTCTTGTCCTGATTTATTTCTGGTTTAGGTCTGGTCTAGTCCTGACCTTGTCCTGGTCTAGTCCTGGTTTAGTCCAAGTCTGCACCTGGTTCACTCATGGTTTAGTCCTGGTATGTAGTCCTGGTTTAATCTTGGTCTAGTCTTGGCCCAGTCCTGGTTTAGTCTTGGTTTGAATCCATATTAGTACTGATTTAGTCCTGATTTAGTCCTGCTCTAGTCCTGGTTTAATCCTGGTCTAGTCCTGGTCCAGTCCTGGTCTAGTCCTGGTCTAGTCCTGGTTTAGTCCTGGTTTAGTCATGGTTTAGTCCTGGTTTAGTCCTGGCATATAGTCCTAGTTTAGGCCTTGTCTAGTCCTGGTTTAGTCATGGTTTGAGCCCATTTTAGTCCTGATGTAGTCCTGATTTAGTCCTAGTCTAGTCCTGGTTTACTCATAGTTTGGTCCTGCTCTGGTTCTGGTTTAATCCTAGTCTAGTCCTGGCCTAGTCCTAGTTTAGTGTTGATTTGAGCCAATTCTAATACTGATGTAGTCCTGATTTAGCCCTGGTCTAGTCCTGGTCTAGCTGTGGTTTAGTCCTGGTCTAGTCCTGGTCTAGTCCTTGTCTAGTCCTGGTTTAGTCCTGGTTTAGTCCTGGTTTAATCCTCGTTTAGTCATGGTCTAGTCCTGGTCTAATTCTGGCCTAGTCCTGGTCTGGTCCTGGTTTAGTCCTGGTTTAGTCCTGGTTTAGTCCTGGTTTAGCCCTGGTTTAGTCCTGGTGTAGCCCTGGTCTAGTCCTGGTCTAGTCCTGCTTTAGTCCTGGTTCATCCTCAGTTTTGAAGTATTATGTTTGCAAGTGTAAACACAGCCTTAAGTTCACTCCAGTGTAAATCTTAACTGCCTCGTTAATAACAGAGAAACGAGGCTTGTGGGACGGACTGAATACTGTGTAGTACAATATGAAGATGTATGTATGTTCAGTGAGGCCATAACTACAAACTAAAAGCCTGAGAGCTCCTGGTCTTTTCTTCTATTGAATTTTAATGCACTAAAAAGATCTAATCAAGGGTTGGGCCTCTGCAGAGATGAGTATTCTAGTCCGTACACAACTCTGAACATGAAAGAAAATGAGCTCCCTTTTCCAAAAGTGAAAGTGAAAGTGCTGTGTTCAGACGGTGGCATCGGGGACGTCGGGTTTACGCGCACGGTCTATGGGGAATACGCGTTTGATTGTCTCTACACTTGAACATTCTGCGAACTTCAGCTCACGTCACGTCAAGGGGTCCGACTAGAGGCAGCGTGAGCTCCGTGTCACAGGAGATTCAAACAGACTTCTATTTAGAAAGAGCTTGATTAAGACTTAAGAGGATATTTGTAATGCTTAAATGTGGGTTGTTATTTGCATAATAGATGACAGCAAGCCCAGGCTGCATTCACACTTGCAGAACATCAAACTTGTTGCGCGAGCAGACGTCCATTCTACATTCTGTTTGAATCCAGAAGAGACTGGACCAACCACAGAGTCTTTCAAATGCAGAAGATGTTTCTTCAAAATTCAGAATAAAATATACGACTTCATTTACCTCAGATGAATCAGAGTTTAGAGTGTCTTGAAGTGTAAAGTATAATTTCATTTTTTTCTCATTAGCTGCAGTGTTTGTTTTGACCTGACCTTGACAGATGTCTCTCTGATTGGTTCAGTCAGGGGTCACCAATTTTTTTTTAAACTGAGAGCTACTTCATGAGAACTGGGTCATACAAAGGGCTACCAGTCTGATACTCTCTTCTGAAATAACAAATTTGCTCAGTTTGCCCTTTACACATTATTCAAGTGCTGTACAACATTAAAACAGAATAAAAAACAATAAACATCATACAAACAAAGCAACAAAGCACATTACACCATTAAACTAAAAGTGTCACAGAGCCACTAAGTGTTAAAAGCCATTCTAAATAAGTACGTTTTAAGTTTGGCTTTGAACAGAGGCAGGTCATGGATGGACCGTAACTCAATCGGCAAAGAGTTCCAGAGTTTTGGACCGGCCACTGCAAAAGAACGATCACCCCACTGTTTGCACTGGGACCGGGGGACCTCCAGCAGATGTTGCCCAGCAGATCGTAGAGCTCTGCTGGGTTGGTGAGGGGTCAAAATCTCACACAAGTAGGAAGGTGCAAGACCACTGAGTGCATTAAAAACAAACATCAAAATTTTAAAATGAATTCTGAACTGAACAGGGAGCCAGTGCAAGGAGTACAGGACAGGGGTGATGTGGTCATGTTTCCGACTGTTTGTGAGCAGGCGAGCTGCAGCATTTTGCACGAGCTGCAAACAGTGAAGACCAGCTTGATTAATCCCCACATAGAGCGCATTACAGTAGCCTATGTGGGAACTAACAAAGGCATGGATCGATTATTAATAATAATTAATGATAATAATCCATGTGAAGACACGTTCATGATTTCTCACAATAATTATCAACAAGGTGGGAACCAGAGATCAATATTCAGCACTTTCACTTTATTCATCTCAGTAATTGTCAAAATTTGAAGTACAGTGTTTGCAATTATCATCATTGCTTCTATGAGTACCGTATTTTCCCGGCTATTAGACGTGCTCTTAAGCCTCCAACCCTATCAAAAAACGACTGCGCACCCCACAATCCTAAGCACCCTATACACGAATCCACTCAGGTGTCCCAGCACAACTTCAGTAAAATACAAAGCCGCACCACCCGCAGAACACGCAAACACACACGGAGCAGACAGCAACCACACAGAGAAAAACACCCACAGCCACACTCATCACTCCACGCCGACGAGGAACGGAATGAAGGAACGAACCTGTTATGGCTCCAGGCCTTAATTTGTAATTTATTTTGTGTGCTTTAAATTATTTTGGTGGAACTTTTCGATTCTTGCTGCGGGAGCCCCGACTCGTGATTGGTGGGGCATGTCGACGCCCACCTCACCTGCAGCCTCCTCCCCTTATTTAAGAAGATTACCTGCACCTGTTCAGGGCTGTTGGCCTTGGTGGCCAGTCTGCCATTTTGTTTGTGTTTGTGCTCGTGTGTGTAGTTTAGTTCTGTTTTGTGCCTTCTTTTATTTCGTCACTCGATTCTGTTTGTGGGCTTATGTGGTTTAATTTGGGGAACTTGTGTTTTAGTTTACTGTGTGTCCCTTTGTTAACTACTTGTTTTGTGTAAGCCTGCGTGACCCATTTTGTGGCACAAAACTCAGTTTATTTTGTTGTTATGTTTCTTAGTTTAGGTTATTTTCTGTATATTTTAGTCTTTTGTTAATTTACCTTTTACCTTCCTGTTAATTAAACATTATTTAATTTATTCCATTTTACATCTTGTTTTTATTTTTGTTACTTTCCTGTCCCTAGCAGAGCTGGGTCGTAACAGAACCGAAAAAGCGAGTGCAATGTGCCACTTCCAGACACAACTGAACAACTGAGTCACTGTGAACACGCCAACAATCCAGCGGTCCCAGACAGCACCCTCCCTACACGCCACAACTGAACAAAGCCCAGAGTCACCATGAACGCACCAAACAAAGTCCCACTGGCCCATCCATCTGTGTTTCGTTTAAAGTCCAGTGCGGTTTATTTGTGGAAAAAAGTTTGAAAATAGACCATTCTATGACAGTGCGCCTTATAATCCAGAGCGCCTAATAGTGCAAAAAATACAGTATGTTTACAGGCACAGTATCCTGATTTCGTAACATAATCTTACAAATGCGCAAGTGCAAAAATTATATATTTAATAAACCAGGAAAAATACAAACAACCATGAGCTCCTTTAGCGTTGGAAGCTCAGGAGGTTCCTCAACAGTGAACATTGCACAGATCCACATTTCCAAACACTGTACAAGTTCTACACTGCAGTACATTCTTAATTAAAATCTTCTGCATAAATAAACTCAACTTTACAACATATAAACCATAACCACTATAGAGCCACAGCCTGTTTGACATTATGTTTTTAATGCAGCTTTGTCACATTTGTTTATGTTTTACAGAAACAAAACTTAAAACCGCATGGCTCATTTGAATAAACTCCACTGACTGCTCATCTAAATGGCTTATCTAAACTTGTATAATGAACATATTTTTAAGATACTGTCATTTTTAAATCTATATAAATGCAAGAGTGATTAACCTGATAAGGATCTGACGGCCCGCCGGCGGGCCGTCGCCCTTAATTTACAACGCTACAGCATTTGCATATGAATCTCCGTCGTCCACACTAACAATATACACATCAAATTAAAGCTACGAGTCTCGTCTTTTGAATATCCAAATCATTTTCCACAGTAACCACAACAGCACTGACAAGACAGCCGTTTTACAGAAAAGCACGTGCAAAGGATTTGGACTGTTCTTACCTT